GGCAGGCTTGGCCAGCTCCAGGGATCTGCTCCACGGGCTCTGGGGAGCTGCTCCACTCCCCAGCCCTGACGCCACATGTCTTCTCGTTCCCCAAAGGGGAACAGAGCAGTTCCCTTTGGGGAACTGCTCCGAAGCGGGGGAATGGAGCAGTTCCCTGGAGCCGGCGGAGCCCACGCCAGGCTCCTGCCTCCGCCTTGCCTCCGGAGGAGCTTACCGTCTGTAAATGTCCCACACCACAGCCCAGCTCCTCTCCCGGTGGATGTGCAGCCTAAAAAAGTTTGTGTGTGGCTAGCCTTTTACTTGTGCGCGGCCGTGCACATGCGTACCTTAGAGGGAACCTTGCTTAGAATATTTTAGACCAGGCCTCAATTTCTTTCTTTCTTTCCTTCTTTTTGGAGAAATGCTGAGAACACAGGCTATGTTCAAGTGGTTTAGTCAAGAACAATACAGAATGAGCTTTCTTCAGTGACTAAACTACAAACAATGCACAGAAGCCTTCTGTGATGCCAGTTTATTAGTGTTTTAAAAGTTTAAAACTTATTTTGGATAAATACTAACAATTGGCTGGTTAATTTATTAGTTTGGAAAAGATGCTAATGCAAACATGTAGAACCCTCTGCTATACACCTAAATGAGATTTTTCATTTTAATTTCCCCTAACAAAAATAGCTTTTGTTGAAGTACGCAATGAAATCAAGTGGAAAAATAATTACTGGCACTAGATGGCAGCAAAGTCGAATTTATCAGAAAGGACAAAATACAGGGACAGTAAACAATGTCCCTATTTTAACTACGAAGCATTGAGGTTTTTAAAATTATGTTGCTAGTAATGTAGCAGTTGTGTACTGTAGTGATCCAGGCTCTCAGGTCAGTGCTCTCCATACGCATGCATGTGTGCATGTACACTAAATATATAGCTCACGTAGGTCATAGAACAATACATTCATGTCCGATGGAGAAAATAGCTTGTACTAAATATGCAGATTAACGTGCATATAAAGTCACTGACAGGGATAGGAGAGAATAGTCAAATCCCTTTTGCTTGCTTCCTATATTGTAATGGTCCTCCTGTATCGGAGATGGCCTAAGGATCATGTCTGGGAAACTAAGGCTGAGGTGAAAATCTTTAGTCCCCAGCACGCTGCCAGATTTTGACCTGTAACTATAAAATACGTTTAAAATGGTGAAAAAAGTCCCAGTTTCTTTTTAAGATCTGCAGTGTGCATTTTCAAGGTGCTCTTTGTCTGTTAAGGGGTGACTAGTTTCAAATGTTACATATAATCCCCAATGTGTTCTATATTATCAACTGCCCAAGTGCAACAAGCACCTTATAGCCACCTCATTCTGAATGCCTCATCAGGCAGATCAATTAAAAACAAGGGTTCTTCTCCAAGACACAATGCTATTCACTGTCTGTGTGGTGCCTGAGTGGCATGGATTTCAGCAGAGAACCTGAAACTAAATCCAAAGATTACTTTGGACTTTATTTATTTTTATGTAGAGTTTGTGACCCTGAGATTGCTTGGTCATTTCATTCTCACAGGAAGAAGACTGCACTTAGGTTTTGGACAGGAGAGGAATTTAACCTTTGACCTGCAGTGAATCAGCCAAAAGTCACTGTCTTCCTAGTCCAGTTTTATTTATGTGTATAACACCAAAAGGTATTTAGCTATCAGATTAAAATTAATCTTGTCAATAATGGCACGAACAATGCAAGAATGGGGGAACTATACTATTAAAATATTAAAATAGTAGTATTTATCTCAGCATTTGTTTCTCATTACAGAAGGCTGTCATCAAGCTATAAGCAATTACATGCAAACTGCTTTTATAAAAATAGAATCATAGAAAATTAGGGCTGGAAGGGACCTCAGGAGGTTATTTAGTCCAACTGCCAGCTCAAAGCAGGACCAGCCCCAACTAGATCATTCCAGCCAGCACTTTGTTGAACCAGGCCTTAAATACTTCGATGATAATTAGTGATCCTGTTCCTTATGTCACAAACCCTGCCATATTTCACCGGGTTCATGGGTTGTCGTATAGGTTTTCTTGTATCGGTTTTGCTGGCATGGACTGTGTGGTCACACTGAAAACCCAATGTTATGTTGCATCCGTTTATGTTGCTTTTATTATAACAGTGACTTTTGTATGGACTGTGGCACACTGTCTGTATATATCTTTATGATTTTGAACATGGTTTAGTCAAAGGAACTGAGGGATTCATACTTAAGGAAAAGGGGGTAAGCAAAACTGCTAAGTATCTAGAGGAAGGGACTAAATTCTATCAAATAATTCTCCCTTCCTCTTTTCCTGAGCAGCATTATCCCCAATTTTCAGCTTATAAACATCTTTCTTCTCAACATCACAGTTACATACTCAGGACACTTCAAGAAATTATATAGAAACGCAATACTGGACTGTAACATCAGAGGCATGAGTAGCAAAATACTTTGTAATTAGATGAGTTAATAAACACAAATTAGATCCCTATTTGTGGACTTATAGGGGCCTTGTTTTAGTAGTATCTGAACATGATACAAACTGCATCATGAACAAAAATGAAAATAGCACAAAAAACTGAATATAAGCAAAGAAAACACCAAAGTGTTCCATAGGATGACACAGGCCAATGACTGGAATGTAATTTTTGCACCAGACATCCCATAACAAAAAAAAAAGAATAAAAATAGAATTAATGCTGTAAGGTCCAAAGCCCTCCAAAATCCCTATTAAAACACAAGTGACAACTTTTCCTTCAGCTTTCCTATGACATATTAATTTTAATTTCTCCCTAAGAGAATTTTTACAACCTCTGTTCTCTCCTATGCCTGATGAAGGGTGACTATGCCCAAAAGCTTGCAGATAAATAAAATAATTTGTTTGCAAATATCTAGTTGGTTTAATAAAAAGTTATCACCTCTTCCACAAGTTTTGATTCCTTTTATTTCTAGTTTACACTTAAGTGTTTAAAGGATGATTTTTAAAATAATTCACTTTAATCCACAACAGACTACAAGTATTTAATCTGTAGTTTTGCAGCAATTCAAAGGGTGTTAACAGAAATCTATTTCTAAGATCTGCAACCTTCCATACTACCCTCTATGCTGACATAAATTAGGATGTAACTTAAACCAAGTCCATATTTTAAATCAGCCTATCAACTGTGTTTTCTGTTTGCTAAGTGTCTTCTGGGTAGCACTTAGCATAATTGTGTGATCTATAAAATATATAGCTGACAATAAATAAAATTAATAATCAACAGAAGTTTTAAAATCTCATGATTCATGTTAGAATCCAATCTCTATATATTTCTTTACTTAAATATAAGTAAAGAAATATATAGAGGATTAATATAAAAATACAATCTCAGGAGTTTAGAAGATAATTCCTTGGAGGATACTATCTCTCAGTTATCCATACACAGCTTTTTGACACCTTTCTTAGAAACATCTAGGCTTAGCATCTAGTGAGAGATATGCTATTGGACTAAATAAGCTGGTTTTATTATCTAAGGTGGAAAATGCTATATCTGAGTTTATCCACTGGACCTTTAACCCAAATGCAGCTAAGTGGTACACATTGGCCACAAAGCTGATTTGACTGACCTACCCCTCTTGAACAAAAATATTCCAGTCTTACCACAGGTACTGGAAATGGAGCCTGAATGAGGATGTCAACTGTCAGTAAATTTACCAAAAGTTAGTAAAAAAAAAAAGGCTAAAAACTGCTATGAGTAAGGTCCACAAAAAAACCCCAAACCAAACAAAACAAAAATAGCAGCCACAACTTCATTGAATCTCTGAAAGACAGAGCACAGCTGCACCTCCACATATCCAAGTGACTGGCTGGGCAACAGCTCTGCCGAAAAGGACCCATGGGTTACAGTGGACAATAAGCTGAATATGAGTCAGCAGTGTGCCCTTGTTGCCAAGAAGGCTAATAGCATACCGGGCTGCATTGGTAGGCATGTTGCTAGCAGTGCAAGGGAAATGATTATTCCCCTCTATTCGGCATTGGTGAGGCCACATCTGGAGTACTGGGTTCATTTTTGGGCCTGTCACTACAGAAAGGATGTGGACAAATTGGACAGAGTCCAGCCAAGGGCAACAAAAATGGTGAAGGGCTGGGGGACATGATTTATGAGAAAAGACTGAGGGAACTGAGCTTATTTAGTCTAAAGAAAAGAAGACTGGGAGGGGTTTTCATAGCAGCCTTCAACTACCTGAAAGGTGGTTTGGAGGCAGATGGAGCTATACTGTTCTCAGTGGTGGCAGATGACAGAACAAGGAACAATGGTCTCCAGTTGCAGCAAGGGAAGTTTAGGCTAGATATTAGGAATAATTTTCTCAATAGGAAAGTAGTGAAACACTGGAACAGGTTACCCAGAGAGGTGGTGGAAGCTCCTTCAAAACCTGACTAGACAAAGCTTTGGCTGGGATGAACTAGTTGGGGATGGTCCTGCTTTGAGCAGGGGGTTGGACTAGATGACCTCCTGTGGTCCCTTTCAACCCTAACTGTCTATGATTCTAAGTGGGAGTGCAGCACCCTGCAAGGAACATTCAATCAGCCATGTGTTGCTGCTGCTGCATTCCTGGATGCTTATAATACTGTTGGGTCACAGGTAGGCTTCTTTGGGGGTCTATGCTGGGCTGGGGGGAGTGGGACCAGCAGGGGTAAGGCTGAAAGGTTGGGCTAGGGGGGCAGCATGGTACATTCAGATGTATAAGGATGCAGAGGTGAGTAGGGGGCCTGTCGTGCCAGCAAGTCGTGCAGTGTAGACTAAGGGTTGCCAGTGTAGACTAAGGGCTGCCAACCCAAGAAAAATTTTTTTTACTGCAAACCTTTTACTGACAACCAAACTTTGTTTTACTTTTTTACTATGGTTGAAGTTAAAAGCCTAAATCTGAACTCAACCCATCTAACTTGGGCCCGGCAGCAGGGCAAGGCCTGGAAGAAGTGTTACGTTTACATTATGTAAAACATGTCATTAAAAACACGTGGCTACAGAAAAGTTTGGCTGTTAGTATAAATCTTGCAGATTGTAAATAATAAGTATAAAAAATTCTTGGGTTGGCAATCCTTAGTCTATAACCTGACACTCTTGTACTCCCCACCAGATATAACGCGTAGATGAGATTTGTGGGCAGATGGACCTCAGATGTCCTGAAGAACAAGGGAGGAACAGGTAGCATAAAACTACCTTTGCACTCTCCCTCTAGCTCTGAATCAAGTACAGTCCAACTTAACCAAGGAATCTGGTTTGATGTCTGGTTTATGAATATATAATACAAATTATTTTTCTTCAGATCTCTTCCATTTGAGACATGAAATAGAATGTACCCTATTTTATGTATATGTCAGTGCAAAATAATATTTTCTAGTTATAGCAGTCTCTTTAAGAACAGCAGGTCTCTATTACTTTAAATGAGATTAACATTTCTTATACCAGGGTCAGAGTTAGGTCAAGGTTGCTAGATTTTTCGGTTCCAGGATGTGTTAGTTTTGCAGCAGTAGACAGGGAGATAGGCCTTGGATTAATCTGTGACAGGTAAAAAAATACTCTTATTTAGGAATCCAAGGAAGAATTTAGTCTCCGGGATTTGGCAGCTGTAGGCCATAAAGATAGGATTTCTCTAAGCACTCCTTGTTGGATTCAGGCTCATTAGTTTGCATCAGTTACATACGCTCAACTCCGAGTACAGGAATGCAGACAGAATAACTGTTCTTGGTGACATGAATTTCACATACAAGTCACTCTGGTTCATGGTCATCAATGATGACAAGGTTAGGTAAACTGGAAAGTAATGAATGGTTTGGGAGAGAGAGAAGTATCAGAGTTACCTTTGATGATGAGCCTCTTATACAAGAGATGCCTTTCAGATATTTAGCTGAAAGGAAGGTCAGATGACATCAGGGATTTTTGTCCAGGAACACAGGGGGAAACACTACATAATTCTGGGACAGGGATAGGTAATTTCTAGCCTCCTTCAAAAGCACACTGCTGATATTGCAAGTCATCTGTCTGTCTGGCAGACTGGTGTAAAACAGGCTTCTAAAAAAGGGCAGCCAGTCAGAAAGAAAAAACTGTAGCTGAGGGAGAGTTTCCTTAGTAGGCTTGTCCACAGGAAACCAAAATTCCCTTATGAGAAATGGGCAGTCTGGGGAAGCCAGTGCCTAATTCATCTCTTAAGGCTGCAGCAGCCCAAGGAATGCTACTGAATCTCTGTCTCAGGAGTCCTTTGTATAGCAAGCTTTTTAAATGTCAGATAAATCACCTATGGCAACAATATTTTTGCATTTTCTGAGATGCTAAGTGGGTGTGAAATTTTCCTGGCACTCCCTGAAATTATAAGGGCCAACATACTCAAAACTAGTTGCCTAATGATTCTTTAGGACAGCGTTTTCCAACCAGTGTGCTGGAAGGCACTTCCAGGCATGCTGCGGCATTTTGGGCTGGAGACATGCCCCCTGTCTGTCTGGAGCCACGCTCCCTGCCTGCTGCTGCTGCAGACACAGACAGATGGGGAGCGTGGCTCCAGCCAGGCAGTGGGTGTGGCTCTAGACCAAAATGCCATCCGGCTGGCTGCATGCCACCCCTCCCTGTCAGCATCTGGTAGGTCACGCCCCCCCTCTGCCCCACGTGGCACCCCCCACTCCATGTCCGGTGTGCCGCAGTGCTTTTTTATTTAGGTCAGTGTGCCATGGGGTGAAAAAGGTTGGGAAACGCTGCTCTAGGAACTGTAAAGTGCTCAATGCTTTTAGAAAAATCAGGCCACATAAGTCCTGACATATATATATTTATGCACATGTTTACCTTGAGATCATGGGAGGAGTTTCACTGAGTTCTGTAGCCAACATCATTTGCTTTGAGTTAATTAAACTCATAAGGCTTTGAAGGGCAAATATCATACATGTCTACATGTTATGAATAGATTTTACATTTTAATTTTAGGTTCTTCCTTCAAATCTTAGTACATACCTTTCCAATTATACAATTCTTTCAGAAATACTTTGCTATAAAGTAGACTTCAAACAAAATATAGCTTAATAGTCCTAAAATTAATTTTAATGTTATTTCCACACTATTTCATGCATAACTTAGAAAAATTAAACCTGAGATAAATTGCATACACTGAACATTTAAGCCTAATATCATGGTTGGGAGTCTGAGCCAATTTTTATAATAGGAAATATCTGTTATGGGTTGTACAGACACATTAAAAGTCAAACCTTTAAAATGTTATGCACACTCCAAACCATCTGTTATTTTACTCCACAGTAGACACAAAACCTTTTGCATAAGCCTTTAATAAATAATTCCTGAGGAAAGATCTTTAGATCTGTTTGCATATGAACTATATTCAAACACTCTTTTAATTAAAAAAGAGATGCCCTGTAAGAATTTATAATTAAGTTTTCAACTTTAAATACATTCACTGTAAATTTAGGTAAAGAAAGAAAAATATAAATAGAAAACTTACAGGTTCAACAAATTCAAACTTCTTTTTCTCCTGCACTTCTTGAATCTTAAACACATATTCTAATGATGCTTCATAAAAGTTTTGATGTTCTCTGTCAATCTGTGTATCTGCCTAAATTAAAATGAAGTTTATACAAATGAATATTAATATACCAGTACAATTATTACTTTCTATTATTAACCATCACATTTACAACTTAAGGTCAAGATTCCTGGCTTGATTTCTCATCTGTACTCCCTACTTCAACATGTTCTTAACACACGCCTCCTTTGAATGAAGAAATCTGGGATGTCAGTGGTTCCTGAAGGAGATTGCTCAAAAATGAGAAGATATGTCCTTTACCATGGGCTAAGTGAATTCGTCTTCACACCATCCCAACCCAAACAACTGTGAGAAACAAGACCTCTAGGTTTCTCTTTTAGTACAACCAACTGTAATGCAAAGGTTGTTTGAAATGCATTCTAAGACATTCTGAGTGCCTATACATGAGCCAGGAGGCTGTTCCAATGAGCTGTAATTACAGCATGTTAGAGCAGACTCAATTAATCGAGTCTGCTAGAGCATGCTAATTAACAGACTCCCAGTTAGCCTTTGCTTGCTGTGTATCAGCATCCCCACACTTCAAAATGGTGGCGGGAGTCTTTTAACTAAAGTTCATTTGATGAGCTTTAGATAAAACGCCTCTGCAGCTGTTTTGAAGCGCAGGGATGCTGTTACATGAGATGATCTGGGAGCTTTAATTAGAATGGCTCTCAGATCTGCTCTAATTAAAACCACCCACCCCCACCCCAGAAGCAAATGTAAAAATGCTCTTTAATTCTTCAACAGTTTAACAACAGAGCCATTTCAAAATGAGGTAGGATGGGATGTGGTGCATGGTATAAGTCTTCAGCATACACACTGGTTCTTTAAATACTATTCATGTGGGCAAAATTGGAAGGAAGGCAAATGGATGGTGCAAAGTAGGCAAGGCCAACTACTCTAAGTGTAAAGCAACTAATAAATATTTGGGTCCTGCAAAAATGGGCTAGCTGCCATAGAAACATAAGCTCTCCCATTGCGTATTAACATTCTAAATATGTCAGGACAAAACAGAAAGGGAAGGAAAGGAGGAGGACAGGACAACAGTTTAAAAAAAATGCAGTTATTGAGTTAAGTGAGTATACATTTAGGCCAAAATCTTCCGAATTCTATGTCTAAAGTTAGGCATCTAGTCCCCGCAGAGCTACTAGGCAAAATTAAAACTAAATAGGAGTTGCAGGGATCAACTTTTTAAAAAATTAGGACACTTAATGTAAATTGTTCAGCATAGATTTAGGGGCTTAACATTTGACACTCACATTTGAAAATGTCGGGTTTGGTTCTCCTTCCCTTACTTATCTCATCTGCAGCTATTCTATGCAAGTTTTTAGGGAAGATTGGACTGAAGAAAGGAAAAGTGGCTTGGGAAAAGATGTTCCTTACCTATGGACAGTTTGGGTAAAGACCCAGAGAAGGGAGTGGGACAAAGGAACAAGGTTGGATATGAAGGGCTTATTAGGGATCCTGGACTTTGTACCACATCCAGTTTCAAATACCTTTCCCCAGCTGGGAATTTTAGAAATGTCATATATTACGGTGTTTCAGAAACTAACAGCAACTGAAAAATAAAACTATTTTATATTCTACAAACAGTGTTTTTAGACAAAATGTTGTACAGCACATTATTTCACAACATGGATCAAGCCCTTTGGGAATGGCACATTTGTTAAATATCTACATTTACATATTAGCAGTTTTTTTCATATCGTTTTTTGTTCGGTGTTTCTATTTTAAAATGATGACACCTATCAAATGTCATCAGAAGGACCTGAACCCAGGATTTTCTGGCACCAAAACAAAAAGTTGTTTTAAAGCACTGGGGCTATAAAATTAATTCCATCAATCAAAAGGAGCAGAAAGCTTTTATCTTCTTTGTTAACAAGGCACTCGAAGGGACATATCACATTGGCAGTGTAAAACATAAGCAGTACTCCCACAACTGGTAGGGAAGAGATGCAGTTCCCATTTTAATTCCTTTTTTGCAGCTATTAATAGCTTTCCTCAAAAGCAAGTTCTTTTTTTGGGTTGAACTTGCCCATGTTTGGTCCCAGCTCAAACAGAATTTATTTTTTAATAGGGAAAAATCTGAATAAAATCAACTCAGCCATTTTTAGTTATATGTACTTAAAAAGAATATACTTTTCTGAGACTTTAAATTTTGGCAAATCAAAATAATAGCTAGAAAGTTCAACTGGCTTTTGTTATAATAATCTCCAGCAAGGAAAAACAATCATCTTCAAAGGAAAAGGGTTAGTATTTTTAAAGTTATGAATGTGCAAACTCATATTTTCCATCAATTAAGAACTCCAGGCCAGATCCAATGAGAGTTTCAAGGTGGTGTTACAGGCTACCTTTAAACCATTCTGAAAGCGCATAAAATGGGAGTGTTTATGCATTAAAGGGTGTTAAGCTGTTCTAAGTACCCTCTAAGCACCCTAAAGTTATACCACTTCAGGCAAGGGGTATGTTTGAGCCATTCTACTTAGCTTGAGTGAAGACATTATTAGTCTACTCCACAGAGATAAAGCAACCAATTTGCTTTATCCAGCACCCCAGGATGCATGGCTTTGGCCTCTCTATCCCCAAGCCAACATCCCCACCTGCCCACAGTGGTTATGACCCCAGCACACATGGTACCACACTGCCAGCTTCTAGGATCTCAATAGGGACAGAAGTTACACATAAACTGGTTTAAGTGATCAGAAACTGGTTTAAATCTGTAACACAACAGATATTCAGTGCACATGAACCAGTTTCAAAATGGCTGAAACAGGTTTAAGATAAACCTGGCTGAATGTAGTATCAGACTTAACTGATTTGGGTCAAACTGGTTTATGAAAATTCTGTCCTAGACACCTTCCTGGTATGACTTAAATCATAGTCCCCCAGCATTCCAGCATGCTTTCCAGCAGACAAGGTTTTGGGGTGGAGAGGAAGCTGGGACTGCCCCCCTCCCCCCCCCAGGCAAACCTGGCTGGGGTCTAGAGCCAGAGATGGGAGTTAAACTTCCCTTCTCCCGAGTAATGAGCTGCCCTGCCCTACCCTGCTAAAAAACATACTGCTTTTTACTGCCTGTGGACTACAAATCCCAGAGGTACCTGGAAGCAGGAAGAGGAAGTGATAAGCAACCCTGCAGAGTCCTGCTGCTGTGTTTGTGGATTGCAAATCCCAGAGACGTTGTGGGCAGCAGGAAATGGAAGTGAACACACAGCCCATGCTGGCTGTGTGCCAGAGAGCCATGCTGTAGCGCCCCCTGGCTTCTGGCCTGAGCCACTGCAGGTATGTGGCTGCATTTCCTGAATCAAAAGTGAATATCTATCCAATTGTTTCTCAATTTAATCTCTGCATCTTAAACTAATCTGCAAAAATGGAACTGACTCAGCCTCAGGCTTTTTGACTGTCTGTACTTAGCTGTGGAGAACCAATCCAGGCTCCTGAGCCAAATGCCAGGCATGCAACCCTCAGAGAGCTAAACCTTTGCTCCACATCCAGGTGGATCTCCCTTAGCCAGGATAATTTGTGCAGAGTGTGGCTTATCTCCTCAGCTTCCCATTTTTCTGGGAGGCAGGGATGGGAAGGGCTGCCCTACAATAAGTCTGTCAAGAGCATGGGGAAGCAAACTTTCCAGGGTTCATACTGTCTCTGCAGTTAACCCCTAGCAGTTCCACTCTGGGAGCAGAGCCACCAGGTGGCGACAGCATGCAGACCTGGGAGGCATGTTTCCCTGGGCTCCACACACACAGTGTGCTTAACTCAATCCCGTGGCTCTGCTCCCAAAGAAGAGAGCGAGCCCTGGCTCCTGGGGCCACACCCCTGTTTGACAAGCCAGCTAATGGCAAGTCACAGCTGTGCAGGTCAGAGATGGCATTAAGCCTTAACCTGTGACCCTTCTGAAACTGTTCTAACTTGAACATGAACCTTCTACAGATTTAGAATAGTTTAAAGGTAACCTGTGTAAGCACCATCAAATGCCTCCAAGTTAGACACCGTGGCCATTTTCAGATGAGTGCAGCCATGTGGCACATTTAGCTGCAAGGGAGCACCATGGGGGAAGGTGGGGGGCTTGACCCCTGGATATCCAGAGGTCAAGAAAACCCATGGGAAAAAAGCAGAGCAGTGCACACAGGGGCAGCGTGTGCTGCTGAAAACCAGAGCCTGGCCAGCTGGAGCCATTGCTGTTGCTGCAGCCCCAGGAGACCCCCAGGGCCCCAGAAACAGCTGCTGGGCCAGCCCAGTGCTGGCCCCTGCCTCCCCTACCCCACCTGGGGTAACCTGCCATGCACCAGAAAATGCATGGCACAGGAATTCCCTGGGAACAACTAGCTGCGGCTCAAGGTGTCCCGCTCCTAGTTGTCCCCAGGGAACCAAACGTCCATGTGGACACAGCCTATGGGTGCAGATAGAAGTGCAGCTTCCAGCTGTAACTCAAAATGATTTTTGCACACCACTGAGTTACAACCTTACCCCAGACCTAACAGAAGTTCACTGTTGGGTCCAGGGGGGAAGGTGAATCTAGCTGCAGACTGGAAGCTGGTAGCCAAGTTTCCATAGCGACAGCCAGGGCTCTCTGGCAGTGCTCACTGTTTTCAGATTGGGAATGGGGAAAGGCAGCAGAGAGAGATCGTTCTTGGGGTTCCCCAGCCAATGCTGAAGGGTGGGGTGGGGTAATTGGGCCCCCATCTAGGGGATCTCCAATACACCTGCTGCACCCTCCAGGAGTCGAAAAACCTCAGACTGAACTCCCTCCACTCCCTTCCTCCCCTCCACATTCTGAAAACAGCGACAAGCTGAGCTCCGCAGACACAAGTTACAAAGATACTAGATTTTGAAATGCGGGGTCAGATTTTCACCCGATCAGCCATTTTTAAGCTGTTTGTAGCTGTGCACTTGTGTTTGGTCACAGCTATAAACTGCTTTCTGTGGCCTGATCTGGTGAAAATTGTTACTTCTGTCTGTATGCTGTATTGCCTAATTTATAGGTGGTTGGCTTCCAACACCAATCCAAACCCTGAATTAGGTAACTCCAGCCT